AAGTTTGGTCTATAAGTATTCAGGAAATACATAAGCACAGAAGCTTCATTCTTTACACCGTAAAAAGGAAGTTCCTTTATTTAGGTATTTCTCTCAATTAAATTAGCACCATCAAATAGACGAATGATTAGAACTATATAGTTCTATTGGTTCTAGAATATAGTTATTATAGTTCTATTGGTACTTAAACAATTACGCACAAAATACGTAATAACTCAAAAATCCTATACGTAATGTATATTTTGATGCAAATATGTAAGTTATGTTAAATAAGTTAGGTGGTACCCTACATATTTGTGAGTGAAAGGAGCGCTTTATTACTCTAAGGTTGACATAAGTGATTGATGAATTGGTTTGGGTTTTTACTTTATATTGATTCCCTTCGTCGCTTTCTAAGAAACTTGCGACCAGGTGTGATGCGCCTAGGTAAAAACCCCAGGGGGTATTTTCTATGAGTAATTAAACGTTATGTAAAGACCACAGACATATACCTAGATAGACGCCGCAAGTACAGCAATTTGTACGAAAACCAAGCGTGCTACATTTTTTGTACCCACTATGACGTCACAAGAACTGTTTAGTGATGGAAACCTCCTTCCGCTTGCCTAAATCGATTCATTGAACGGAATACGCATAAACATGCGTACTCCGTATACTGCCTCCGTGGTCGAACGGTTACCACGCCGGATTGCCACACAGAGGTTCCAGGTTCGATTCCCGGGCCGGGAGAAATATTTGTGTAGCCTACATTTATTTCTCTCGTGGGATTGGGTGTAATTTGTGGTTGTCTATGTGTGTGTCCATGGCACCCGCGACGCAGGGTTTCCTAGTGCGGGGCTATGTTGAGTGTGTGTATTCCATTCAATAAATTTATTCTAAATATAATAATTTTTGTTCAAGTCTTTGTTGATTACAAGTAGTCGTAATATTAATATAGTAAAAAAATACTATAATAAGATAAGAACAATTTTTATTCGTCTTCAAATATTAAATTTATTGTCCTTCCAATAAAATGAGCTTATTATATAACATCTTTTTGTAATAGATGATCTTATCGATTAACTTAAATAATGAAAACGCACGTCAATATATGAACTTGCAACTGTTGGTAATTGATGAAATTGATGAATGGAAAGACAAATGAAAATGTTCATCATAATCTTCATCATCATATCAGCCGGAGACGTCCACTGCTGAACATAAGCCTCCCCCAAAGATTTCCAGACCAGCCGATCGGACGCGACGTGCATCCATCGGTTACCCGCCGCCCTTACCAGGTCATCCGTCCATCTAGTATCCCACTGAACGCCTTCCGGTTTGTGGTCTCCATTCAAGAACCTTTCTGCCCCAACGGCCGTCAGTTCTACGAGCTATGTGCCCTGCCCACTGCCACTTCAACTTGCTAATCCTTCGAGCTATGTCGGTGACTTTCGTTCTTCTACTTCTATTGAAAATGTTACTGCTGACAAAGTATGATGAAATATCATTAATCAGAAGAGGTTTACTTAATGACGGCCTGGTGTGAAATTTTTGTGATTTGTTTATTATTTCTCGAATTTCTAACTCTGCTACTCTGCATATTTTGAAAGCATCTTTAAGTGGGATAAACTAGACCACCTTCGTCTTCGAAAGCGGCGAACTCATACGTATGACCAATTCCAGGTTTTTGTAAAGACAGCGCACTGTTAATTCTTTGCATTATATATTTTTTGTGTATTACTCGTACTATTTTCTTTACTCGTACTAGTTTCCTTAACTACCTAGAGTAACTGATGACTAGATATAATATGTCCCTACAAAATGTATGGTAAACAGTTTTTTGCGATTTCTGACATTTCGAGTACTCTTACCTCAGTTAGTCCCATAGAAAATATTGATCCTTACCATAAACCGGATCGAATGACATGAAAAAAGTTTTATATAAATTGCCTTTTATCTTGCTGACCATTTTTTCAAAATCTGTGAATGCCAATCAATATATCTTCAAAATTCATGGATAGTCTTCTAGAGCCGTTTTCCTGTAACTAGAACGAATAAGGTAGCCGACCTTGCTGCCCCGTCTCAAATTCACACCTGTATATATGCATCTTCTGATTACAAAATCATTTGCCCGTGGAAGGAAATGTCCCTATTTTTTATACGTTTACCCACAGTTATGGTGCTTTTGCAGTTTATAATGGCACAATTATGCAGTTTTCGCGTTTTCGACTGGTGTATATAACTACGATAACGGTCGAGCGCGTTCTGAAGTGTAGCAGCGGCAAGTAAGTGAATGTCACTTACTTTGGGCACGCGAAGTACTTACACTTGCGGCGTCTATCTAGATATATGTCTGCGGTAAAGACGTTCACTGAAATAGTTTTAACATTTAAATAATAGCATTTTTAAGTTGACCAAGGAATCAATAGGTACGTATTGTCGTAAAACAATGTGTAAGTATAAAGTGCAATAATAAAGATCCACTAAAACGTGATACTGACAGAATTTTTTTTTCTTTAATGTCAGCGTGTTCTTATTACCTGCTGTACTATTTTTCATTTGATCTCCTTAATTTCTGTTATAAAAAAGGCACCTATTAAAAATGCATTGCATAAATTCTGAAAGTACACAATTACAAAATAATGTTTTCACTTCTAATGCTCTTAAAGTTTGTATTTATGCTGGGTGTAAGCTGTATAAAATAGGATTTTATGCTCTAGTGCATAAAATAAAATCGTCGTTTAAGACCGAGACAATGACGCCTGTGCTAACAGCTACCCACACTAGAACTTTATAAAATAAAGTTTTACATTTAGGGAGGTTTTATAGTCACGCGTTTCGGCAGCGCCGTCGGAGCGCGCGCGTTCGGATATATGGGGGTAGTTAGTAGCGTTTCAAACTCGCGCGGTTGGGCAGCGCCGTTCGTTGAACGCGTCCTATTCGCGCGGCGCGGTCGAACCGCGCGCCGCTCGTGCGCTTCTACGGCCATAGTGCGTTTTAGTCTGACGCCGTTGAGACGCGCCGTTAGGTTCTGTTGTGTACAAAATGAATTACATCGATACGGGACGAGTAATTGACGAAGTGCGAATTAGAAGATGTTTATGGGACCCGGCCGATGATTTTTATAAGAATAAGGACGCAAAAAATAAAGCCTGGGAAGAAATTGGAAAGGAATGATGTTACGTGTTCGCCTCTCAGTAACCTTGTAGCGTTATAAGGATCAACACCTACTGTTCTTCGACGTTGTTGTTGCCTTTTTTTCCATAAAAAGTAAATAGCCAGTACTCTAACCGCATTGCCGTTCATTTTGTACACGACTGTCTCACAGCAGCTAAACGCGCCGTACTAATGTCGTTTTATAGTGCACCGCTGTTCAAACGCGCGCTGTCCAACAGCGCGCTACCCAACGGCGCGTCTAGCCGCGTGACTATAAAACCAGCCTTATTTTTTAATCCGTGTTATATTACAAAATTAAAAAAGTAGGCAATAGTAATTCTAATAAGTTATAAGAAATGGAAATGCATAAAAAATAAAAGCTTGTAGAATATAACTGAACATTATGTAGTCCGACCTGAGTCACGTGTAGAATTGACATTCAATTTCAATTAAATAATCGTTTATTTGTAATATTGCTGTTTCATTTCCTCGCAATCGAATTGAAAAGCAGAGTGTATAACTCGTTCATAAAACCCATTTTACCCTCGACTTGAGTATCCACATGTACTCGTCTCGGGTAAAATGACGCGTTTTGTGCACTTGTTGTACAATCTACTATTTTTGTCCCTTGGTACACTTAAATGTTGACTGTATGAAGTCTGTATACAATGTACACCCTTTTCCCATAGGGGTAAGCGAGAGCCACTTGGTACCATTCTGACATACATTATGTCGTCTCTCCGACAACATCAGCTTTCATACATGCCTGGCCTGTGAAATCTCTATGATAAAGAAGGTTGCATTTTTTAAACAATATTCGACAAACTTTGTTGCTAAGTATGTAGTACGCAAAAAAGGAAAGGTCTTCAAGGTCCCAACGTTGTAAAAGTGCCCACGAGGCCTTTTGACTTTCGTAAAAGTTTTATTCGATTTCTACTCGTGTAAAGGGATGAAGCAGGAATAATATATAGGTTTTTAGCAGAAGGTTGAATATTATTATAATACTGTATTGAATCAAGTGAACATCACTAATCGTAAAATTTGACCAAAAACAGGGCGAAGGAGCCGTCCGTCTCATGACATTAAATGCATTATTCCAAAGTATCCTTCGATATTCATAGCCTACTAAGGAAGTACTTGAAATGTACAGCACCAAGTAATAGACGCAATATATTACGAATCACGCAGCATACACTCGTTTGCATATTTGTTTTCTCGAAACTCATTTAGAGAAAATAATTGATTTTAAAATACATATATTGAGCATATTCTGATTGTGGAAGGAAACGTCTCCGTTTATTTATTTTCTCACAGAGCTGCGGTGTTTTTGCAGATCTAATGGCACAAGCTTTTCTCGTTTTCGATTGCTGTTTAACTATGTACTATAACGGACGAGCGCGTTCTGAGGCGTAGCTGCGGCCTCTAAGCGTTTATAGCTTACATTGGGCACGCGAAGAATGTACCTGCACTTGCGGCGTCTATTTAGATATATGTCTGTAGAGTGAAGACTATTTCACGCTAGAACCTCGTTTCTGTATCTGTCACGTTAAAGTTACAGCTCCTATACTAGTGCTAAAAGGTACATTTAAGGTAATTAATTCTAGCTACGATGCAGAAAAAAATTTGTAATATTCAATTCACGATTTTTTCTTCTTATTCAACACGGAATAAGCTGACCGAACGTTTAAATTAAGTTTTTCGTAATCGCAGGTAGACACACCATGTTTCAGATGTATTTACAAACATTTCCTAGTAAAAGGGTAGCAAAAAACAGTGTACTTCAATAACTAAGCACATTTTTTAGGATTATTTCTTTTTATTATATTACAAAGATGTACAATGAAAATGGTGCCTGTTACTGTCAGAACGTGACCGCAAGATCCATGAAGGAGACTTGGCCAAACAGAAGCGACGATACTCCCGTGATATTCGGCAGCTGCGCAAGGACATCTCAACCAAACGCGATGAGCTAGGGGTGGTGGTGTACGGAGACAAGCAATTCCTCAGAAACGCCTTCCAGGAGCACCGCCGACTGCAGCTCATGTATATGAACAGTCAGGCCGATGTTAGTTAAAATCTTTAAATATTTCGTCTATACTTAAACATGTTGTAATATGAAATTACATCTTTTTTAATAATACCAAGTGACGAGACGAATAAGTCGTGCGCCTTGTGGTAAACGACACGCCTAACCGTAACAGTTGCAGTGCTACGCAAGGTTTTCAATCGCAAAGATCTTAGGGTCACTGCCACTGCGCCCGTCACCCAGCGACATAGATTGACTAGTCTCGTGTGTCTGTAATTTCACCAGTACTCTTAACCTTCCAAACCGGAACGCAGTAACGCTCATGTTACTGCTTGGCGGCAGAAATAGGTAGTGTGGCAGTAGTTTCACGGACGAAGTCATTTACAAGTAGCTCTATTTCTACTAAAATGTAACAATAATGCACATTTTGGTATAGTAGTGCTGTCAAAAACCGGAACAGGAATGTTTAATAACAGCGACAGCAGTTCTTTATTATGGTATAAATAAAATTACGCCTTTATAGAAGTTCACTCCAGACGGTGTACATAATGTGCCGTGCAATATGTACAGTTCAGCTCTGTTTACTTTGACTACCATTTATTGTTTCTCTTATGAAGAGTCGTTATACAGAGAAATCTATTTAAAACATGTGTTTCCGCGTGGCTGTTGTATATACCTACCAATATTAAATTATTATGGAAATGGTTGAGTTTTTGTTCATTATTATACGAGGTAATTATTTTCAGTAATGTCATAAGTCTTCTAACTGAATGAAATATAAACCAACAAAGATTGCTCTCTGCGAATGCTGGAATAGCAAACTCGTAACTTACTGCGATGAATTTTTAGTTTAACTATTAAACATAATTTGGTTATCTGTGAGCATAATTGCACTTTTACTTATGAACGGGAAAACAGAAAACTGAACATTTGAAAACTTTCGTTCTCGGACTTTTATTTGCACGTACAAGATTTTCATAGAATAAATTTCAGAATTCCAATTTTATCTTATGTATACTTTATCTGTATACTTAATGAAATTTTCACATTGTTGCGACCTTTTATTGCAGAAAGTACTGGAAAGTATACACCAAGAAAATTTTAACAAGAGAAAGAAACTGGACAGAATCAGATTCATAAAGAAGAAAAAGATGGAGACATTTCGACAATCGCAGGTAGGTCTCTAAGTGTTTTTTTGTTGCTTAAAACTTTGATGAATGAAAACTTATACCAAGAACTATTTATCATAATAACGAAAGGTGTCGATCGCGACCTATTGGTTCCATTTTACGTATAAGTCCAATCGCTAAGCGGTGATTTAAATCGGTAGGTATCAATATGCTTAACCTTCTTTCCTCACTTTTATTCAAGCAATAGTGTGCCATAGTGAATCAGCACATTCTGTTCACCAACAGTTTTCTGCTGAAATATGCAGTGGTAGTGTTTATTTTGGAAATGGACGAGTAAATCAATTAGTAAAATGGGTTCGGTGCGCTGGCCTTTCTCGCTTCTGAAGTGATAACTTATTTAGTAATAAATTTTCCACAGCCGTACTTAATTTATTTCCTTGTAGGAAACTGATTTAAGACAAGCTTTTCATACAAACCATTCGCCCGTTTATTGTGCTCAGCTTAGCCAATTAAGCACTTTTAAAGTCTTATAAATCCTTTCGTAACTGCTTATTTTGCACTAACAGTCACGTACGTCAAAGGTAGTTTTGTGAATATTCAAATAACATGTCTGGAGAAAAATTTTGGTTGAATAATGTATTCGAACTCTCGTTGATATTAATTTTATGTAAGTTTCGTATTTAGTCATTGACTTATAAATAAATGGACGACGGGTCTAATACAAAAACCACGAAAAAAATGTCCCAAGTCAACCTATTCGAAATTTAAATTGTTATGTCATCGCAGTATCGCGCTGTCCGTAGAACAAATGAAGACTAAAGCGGAGTGTCGCGCTCTGTATACGATTTTAGCGCCTTACAAGTGCGGACACTTTTTAGCGCGGACCCGACGTCCATATAATTGTAAGTCAATGTATTTAGTACATTCATACATATAATACATTTATTTTGCGCCCGATGGATTACGACCCTATTGGGTCTTAGCTTAGCTTAGTAAGTTTCGATGAAAAGGCGCGTAGTTACCTCGTGATTGGTTGGTATTGGCAACAAAGTTATCGGAAGGGCATTTGAATTATGCGTTTAATTTGATTGACTACTCGTCTATCGTTCAAATCGCGTCATCCTCCGCTTGTCTGCTATTTCGTGCTTTATTCAGAAATGAATTTATACTCGTATACCGTGTGGTTATTACTATGTCAAGTTGGACTTTTCATCCTCTAAAAGATGTTAACGGAGATAAACGTTAATTCATTTTATTTTAGACGTGTTCGACGACATTATAGTATCAAACTTTCAGTGGCTGTCTGATATCGAATCGAGTTTTGCAAAAAGAGAAAAATCTAATAATAAATGACGATCGTTGTACCTTTCCGTTCGTAATTTTTCCATTTAAATGGGTCTGAGTTACATAACTAAACATTCCACATAAGTAATTTAGTATTTTATTATGTTTTAACAGTTAGAAGCAGCTGAACTAAGGGACAGAATTATTTACGAAGTAGGTGGAAAGCTTCCCGCAGAGAAAAAGGAACAAGCCGTCGCTAATTATGTGCAAAAAGCTAATATTAAGAAGAATGCCGCTCTAGCCATTAAAGTCATGTATAAAAAAATTTTAGATATTCTTAAGAAGGTATGCTCAGTGTAACTTAAAACTTTAACTGCTCATTGCAATATTTACTATGCCATAATCAATTCTTTTGCATGAAACTACTCATAGTCAAATCAAAGATAGATTGAAAAAATGAAAGCTATGAAGTTCATTATAGCTGTGAAGGTGTAAGTGTACTCTGTATTTATTATAGGACTCGTCTTACTTCACGGTGGTATTAGAAGCGTTGAAACTGGACTGCAGAGCACAGGGCAAGTGTTTAATGGGTGCTACCGAAATGGGCCAGCTCGCCATGGAGTACCTAGACGATAGAAAGTTCGAGTTTAACAAGCTGGAAAAAGAAATCAAAGCAAATATGAAAGAACGCGAAAGAACTTTAAAACTTGTTCGCCGAGAAGTTGCTTACTTAACCAATTCTTTTCCAAAACTCATTCGAAAAGAAGTGAGTATAAAGCAAACAAGTAACAACCTACACGAAACACAAACAAAAAGATCCTAATTTAAAGTACAAAACGAAGCAAGTTAAATTTTTTTTGTGTGTAATATCCCGGTAATATGCAGTGTCTACAAAACTCTATAGAACATCGTCAAAACTTGACTTATGTAGGTGGTAGTAGTACTTGTGTTTGATGTTATATCAAGACTAAAATAACACGTGATATCTATGATAAAGTCACGTAGCTCCGTGTTGGTATAATTAGCAGTGCATGCTGGGAATTATAACTTATTGAAGGACACGTCTCTTTCTGCGATGCTGTCTGTGAAGCCAAATATTTGCGTGATTTTGGACAAACATTAGTTGTATTTGTATTTTAATTTTTTTTTAATTTACATTATTGACTAGGCTACGGTTGACAAGATTACGTGTATCTAATGTTTTTTAAATGTTCCAGGAAGCGACAAGTCTGGACGACCTTTACGAAAACGAGGATGCTGGCAGTCACCATTCTGTGCACTGGGAGCTCGAAGAAGTGTTGGCAATTTGTAAAAAATTACAAAAATCTACTCTCGTTTCATCCTTCGATGAGATTTTGTCCAGGTTGTTAGATCTTTTTGGTTATAAATTTATAATAATAGGGGTTAAAGTATGAAATTGCCGATTTGTACTGAAAATCTAAATTGTTTCTTTTTTAAATTTTTAACAAATTTATTTAATCAAAATAGTTGCCATTATTATCTATACATTGCTGCCATCTAATGGGAAGGTTATTAATGCCTTTGCGATAGAACTCCGACGATCTAGACTGCACAAACTGTGTGAAAGCATTTTGTACTGCCTCCTGGGAAGAAAACTTCTTGTCACGTAGATAATTGTCCAAATCACGAAAAAAATGGTAGTCCGTTGGAGCAAGGTCTGGTGAATACGGAGGATGACGAATGGTTTCTAACTGCAGTTCCTGAAGGGTCAAAATGGTTTCTCGTGCTGTGTGAGGTCTCGCGTTGTCGTGGAGCAATAATGGTGAAGATCGATTCATGAGTCGGGGCTGTTTTACTGCTAGTTTTGTCAACATGGTTCGGAGTTCGGCACAATAGACATCTGCCGTTATTGCTTGACCAAATCGGAGAAAACTATAGTGAATAACACCATGCTGAGACCACCAAACAGTTACCATTACCTTTTTATTGGTAAGTTTTGCTTTAGGACACTGTTGTGGCATTTGACCTGGGGTCAGCCATTGCATTTTTCTTTTCCGGTTATCATAAAGAATCCACTTTTCATCACATGTTACAATTCGATCCAATATTCCTTCATTTCTGTACCGGTTCAACAAGGCAACACAAGTTTCAACACGCGTTTCTTTCTGCAGATCAGTCAAATCATGAGGCACCCATTTTTCGTATTTTTTTATTTTATTGATTTGACGCAAGTGAGTCAATATTGTGGGTAAGGTAACGTTAAACCATGCCGCTAATTCCTGGGTAGTTTGACAAGGATCGGCTTCCACTATCTCTCTTAATTCATCGTTATTCACCTGTGTGGGCGGTCTTCCTCGTGGCTCGTTCTTTAAGTCGAAATTTCCATCACGAAAGCGTTTAAACCAAAATCGCACGGTGCGTTCATTGGTAGACCCCTCTCCAAACGCAGCATTGATATTGCGGGCTGTTTCTGCCGCGTTAGTTCCGCGTCGGAACTCGTATTCAAAAATCACTCGAATTTTCGCAGTATCCATCTTTCTTGTCTAAATTGAATAACAAAAACAATTGAAAGTCGATATTCAAATGTTTCAAATTTAAAAAAAAAAAAAAATCACAGAAAACATTTGGAAAAATTTTCATTCGAAAACCTCAAACCATGAAGATTCTATGAAAATTCAAAGAACCTATTGCAATAAAACGGCAATTTCATACTTTAACCCCTAATATTAACACCCTGACATGTTTATAAAGTATTTTTTGGTGTACACGTAACTATAATATGTTATATTGTTTGTAATTCCTTTTTATCTGCCTTTCTCTCTATACATTTCTTCCTATCATTAAATATTTTACTGCATAAACTTGCGCTTATTTAGGGTGGGTCATTCTCATTTTTTAGCGATCTGAATAGCTTCTTGTACGCAATATGTATATTGCAATTCAGTTTATTGCACGTCGGGTATAGACATATAGGAATAAAATCCGTCAAGAACTTTACTGCCGACTGACGTGGCTTCAGAGAGATTCAACATATTATGTTCTTTCAGACGCATGGTTTCACGAGGTACATCAGTGTATAGTAGGTACCTGAAACAATAGTAATAATAATGCAACAATGAACCGTACTTATTGCTCAGAACAACGGAACTAAATTTTCAATGAAATAATTGTGACTTTTTCATTGAAAAAAAAAAACCGACCTCTTCTTCTTTTAAATGTTATGGCCCCATCGAAATAATCAATGATTTTGCCAATGTCAAGTAAAAATAACTATGTACGGTAGTTTAGTATTATAAAACTTATACAAAAAAAATGGCGATTTCGCTAATGTCCAGTTGAAAAAAACTTCGATTCGATTTTCAAGGGCTCCCCCCTTTTTCCAAGTTTTCGTCTGATTCTGACTTTTTGGTGACAATGGACTGTTACTCCTTTGTACATTTTATATATTTTTTCCTGGTTGTCATGGTGACGGTGGTTTGTTTATTACATGTATTGTGTCAGCGGAGCAACTAGTCATTCTGGGGGACTTTAATGCTCACCATCAAGAATTATTGTTCCCATACCAGATGACCGATCACGCTGGGAGAGAGACGCGTAAACTTGCGTTAACTCTAAGCCTTTCCCAGCTTGTCAGTGGCGCCACCAGGATCCCAGATGTTGAGTCTTTCTGTCTTCTGTTAACAATTGATCCAGACCGCTACTCTGTGGTTGTGGAGACCCCACTGGGTACTTCCGACCATTGCCTGGTGAAAACTGTATCCGTATACTCAAATGGGTGTGGCGATACAAGTTAGCAGATTGGGACGAAATGCGCCATTTCTTTGCGTCATATCTCTGGCAGGCGTGCTTTGCTTCAGGAGACTCGTCGAGCTGAGCTGATGCTGTAGTCGAGGTCTTGCGTTTGGGTATGGAGTATTACATACCATACTCTGATGTACCCAATGGACCCCAAGCTCGTCCATGGTTTTACGCTGATTATAGTCGCCTTGAAGTACATAAACAGTCCGCGTACCAAGATTGGGCAGTATTCTCGACTACGCAAAGCTCCGAGTAGTAATCTGAAGAATGCTTTTAATAAGGCCGCCAAGAAGTGCGAAGGCGTGTTACGTAGGGCCAAGTTCGACCATGTGCGCCGCATAGACGCCAAGGTTGCCTCTTATCCAGCAGGCAGCAAATCCTTTGGTCCCTGGCCAAAGCAGTCGAATCTAACTTTTGTCACCCATTTTTGCCACCTCTGCTGAGACCAGAAGGTTCGCTAGCTCATACTGCAGAAGAGAAGGCGAATCTTGTTACCTCACGTAGATCGTAAAAGTTATTTGCTCATATTACGTAAAGTTTTAATTGAATCGGGCTTGATTAGTGGGTTCGATTCTTGGTCGCACCGTGAAATTGAGTTCCGGGCTTACTGTACTGCTGCAGAGGTAATTTTGCTACACTAAATGTAGAACACTTAAATATTAGTACTTTGTATATATTTACACATCTTTTTATATATTTTTAGACTTAAGGAGCAGAGGTACCAGACGGAGCGCCTGTCTATGCAGTTGATCACCAATGTTATGAAACGAGACGCGCTCATCGAAGGCCGCAAACATGCCGTCCTAATGCTGGATTCACTCAAGAATGTCGGTCAAGAGGCCACTGCTGTGTAAGTCGAGTCATCTTTCGTATAAAATGTTCCAACATGTTTTTTTTTCATTATCCATTCACTATAATTGACTGATGTTGATAAGTAGCATTTCTAGAAATTTAAATCGAAAAAAAAAATATATAATAGAACCAAATCTTCCACAAAAGACATATACGTCAAAAACAATTATTCTTCTACCACTAAGTAGTATAATTCTGTGCTCTGTAGAGATGGGAAAAGATGCTTATTTTTATAAACGTTTAAATATGCATTGTTGAAAAAACGGTGCTTTTTAAACGCTTTATATTTTGAAGCTAACAAAATCGTTTAGAAAAACGTTTAAGCGCTTTTATGTAAAAAAAAACTTGCAACGTTAGCGAAAAGCAAGAGTAGACCACTAAACTTTTTAAGATAAGTAAGTTTATTTGTCAAAATAACGAGTTTTATTTTTTGTTTATAACATAACATTATTATATTAATTTTTTGTTATGTGTTTCATGTGAATTTTGAAAGAGCTATTATATCTCAAAAGGAATTTCATTGTCAATGGTGTGGTTTATTAATAAAAAAACTGATTATTTGTCACTTTAAAACTTGCTTGTGTGCTATGTGATTTATTACAAACTAAATTTTTCAGCGTGAAAGCTAGTTTATATTTTATAACTTTATTGTACTTTATGATACTTGGTTGTATCTTAAGAGTATTACGAAAACTTTGATTGTACGTACTTGCCTTATATTGTTTTTTAAATATAATAATTTTAAAGCACCATATTACACAAAATGTAAAAATCGAACTGTCAAAAAAAGAAAAAATATATATCTTTTTTTAAGTTTGAATGATTAATTTTGTAATAATTCTACAAAAAACTGTTCCCAGTCGAAATATAATAATACGCGTAGTAATTTTAATGATGTCCAAAAAGAAAGAAAACCCAAAAATCAAACCCAAATTGTACTGTATTTATATTTGCAGCAAGCTCATACAAATGCTTAGGTCTTTAGGTCTATGTATAGGTACGTATTATGTATTATACTTGTGTTAGCCCTATTACATTGTCCACTCAAATCCCGTGCACACGTAGGCGCTACGAAATGAGCTACGAAATCATAATAAGTTACGAAAGCGTGTAGCTAACCTTTCTCATAGTATGAAGGTATCACGACATTTTGTGAATAATTCATGATATATTTCCCCAGACGTAATTACCTATCAAAATTAGTGTGTTCGTAATGGTACTTTCGAAATATTTTCCGTGAATCTTAATTATTAAAATATGGTACTTCTTACTTGGTTGTTATGACTCATTTCAAATAACACTTATTTAAATGATCGCTTTGAATTTTGCTATAGCAACAGGCGAAAAAATCTAAACAACCGTTAAAACCATTAAAAGAAAAACCAATAATAAAAAAGAGGGTCATATTTTATTTTTGAATACCAATTAATTTAGTAGAATGCAGTTCATTTATAATTTATCCGTATATCAACTAATATAAAAGGAACAATTAATATGTACATTTATCAAAAATAATTAAAATATTTTCAATAGATCAATTATATCTTTGAGGATCAAATAATATTATCCCATTTCTCAAATTCTGCACGTAACGATTTTCCTTCATTTGACATTTTGGAATGTTCGTCTGGCTGCCAGGTCATACTGGTGTCCCGGGTAATGAACGTTCTGACATCCTGTCTAACGAGGCTAGTACTTGTGACGAACCGCGAGTTATTTTAACTGTTCCCATGACCGATGTACCTTACCTAAAACATTCCTTCGAGATACTGAAGCGAAACTTGGGTCTTGTCTGTGAATTTCTGTCAATTCCTTTGTATTGACAGAACACATGCTTGCATGTGAGCGTTTGTCCTTGTAATCGCTGCTTGTAGCTGCGAATTCTGTCATGATATATAAAACTGGCGAATGAGCAGGAGGTTAACGGGTATCCTAACTAGTATGCATTTCGGTTCATTTTCCGTTACTTTGAGTTATGGCGTGAATGCTTGGGACCTTCCTACTATCCAGTTGTCCCTCTTTATATAAGTATCTATAATTTTTTTATATAAGAAAATAAGTGAGCATTTGACCTCGCATCTCACCTGGTAAAAAGCGACGTTGAAATGAAATGAAATTAAATGAAAATTTATTTGCTTAAAATATTTATTATTTATATTATGTATATTATTTGCTTAAAGTGAACAAGAGGTGAAACACAATAGAGAGATAGAGCTCATAGGTATTTTACCACATCTGGCATGCAAAATTATACTTATGGTGATTGAACATCAATCAACTAATGATTAGATTACAAATTATGTCAGTAAACATGCACAAAACATCCTTAAAGTTCTAATTTTGTTTCAATACATAGTTAATTAAAACATCCTTAAAGTTCTAATTTTGTTTCAATACATAGGTAATTAAATTAGTAGGGCATTTCTCCAAGAAGGGCTAAATTCTCTAAATTCGGTGGACGAATTTTTTTTTCTTAATTTCAGGCAAAACATTGAACGGGAAGGAAAACGAACTCAAACTTTTTTTTTCATAGCATCAAGTGACGGGACGAACAAGTCGTGCGCCTGATGGTAAGCTACATGCTTGTCCATAACAGTTTCAGTGCCATTCAGGGCTTTAAATTGCAAAGATTTCAGGGCACTACCACTGCGCCCATCACACTGAGATATAAGATGGCAAATCCCATGTGCCTGTAATTTCACCATCACCCTTACCCTTCAAAACCGGAACACAGTGATGCTGACATTACTGCTTGGGGGCAGAAATAGGTAAGGTGGCAGTACTACCCTGGACGAACTCTTACACAAGGAGCTCTACTGCTACTAAACATTACTTACATAAGATTCCGTTATTAGGGCAACTAGATTCTTAACAGTTAATGACATATTTGAACCACCAAATTCAGCTACCACGGAAATCAGGATAATTTAACAAAAGGCATAATTTTTGTATAAAATATTATGAAAAAGGCAATAAAAACATTCAATAATCTACACAAACATTTAGTAACATGACTAACTATTTTAAATCTAGCTTTAAAAACTAAAATTTGTTTACAAATCGACCAGAACTACGCAAACAAATTTCACCTTATGACTATTAACTAATATTAGATTTCAGTTTGGCTGTCCAGTTTTTTTCTTTTCAATTATACGAAGTATGTCCGTATCTCTTTTAAAACAAATTTTTATTACACAATCTGTAGCTACAAGAGCATTCAGGTTTTTTGAATTTGCACGATTAATATCTTTCATTATTTTTTATAAATGACGAGATAATTCATACAACTTCAAAATTTTCCTTCCGCTTTTTCTTTGCAAACCTCTGTCTATCTTTTTCTTTAAACATTTCATACACGTGGGGCGCACTATAAGTTTCCGGAATGAATAAGAAAAAAATACTATAAATGGTTAGAAATGAATTTATTGTTTCTCAAAATATTCTTCGTTAGAGTTAATCATTGACTTGCAAATAAATGGACGTCGGGGCCGCGTTAAGAAGTGTCCGAACTTACAGGGCGTCAATCACGCTTTAGTCTTCGTTTGTTCGACTGACAGCGCGCTTGTCAATAATGCCGTATTGGGTAGTAAAACCTTGTAAAAATTACCCAACTAAAGTGAAAAAACAGGGTGGTATATCATATTTTCAGTAAATACTACATTGTGTTATCATAGTTATCATTTAAAAGTGTTATTTTATGCACTAGTATATATAGTGTTTATATATATATTTAAATTAATCGTAAATATAAATTACAAAATCAATCAAAATAATCAAATAGCTAACTGTCTCTTTCTGACTCATTGCTTGCGTAACAGACTGAACGAGACCCATCACGTCAATTTCAATTGTTTGAAACACAAGCGTCTGAAATATTTAGAACAAAAATTTCATAGTTGCTTTGATGCTAATGTTATTACTAAAATATTTTTTAATACGTGTTAGTAATACTTTCAAATATTGTTGTACTCTTGCTACGGCTCGGGGTTACGAATCAGAAGACAAAAATACATTTGCCCGAAATAACTTTTGCATGATTTCCATAATCCCGAAAGTATTTTTTTAGGTTTTTCGGGAGAAGTATGTGTACATTTATTTTTCTCGTGAGTTTGGGTGTAATTTGTGGTTGTCTATATGCGTGTCCATGGCACCCGCGACACAGGGTTTCCCTAATGCGGGGCAATGTTGAGTGTGTGCGTTATTATAACTATTATTATTAATTAGTAGAACCTAAGTGTTTATTTTGGAAAGCGTTTCTCTTGCACAATCAATATCGCACATTTTAATTTTGTAATTATCTCACAATGGCAAATACCCTACTACCGTCATAGCCGTACTTTTTCACGCACAAGAAACATTTGCAAGAACTATGAGCAGTACGACTATGCCTGTTGACGGAATCAACCGTCGTCAGTGATAAACCGTAATAATTGTATTGAAGCAATGTAAGCACTACGGCATATAGAAAAGTGGTGACGTTTTTGAGCGCAGTATAATTTCAGTACTATGCACGAACGGGTTAAGAAAATGGTAAGAAAAGAAAGGAAACCAGAGCTGATGCAAGCTTGATAAAAGCCATAATATTAAAGCTTTGGTACATACCAAATTTTGTTTACTCATTGATGTAACCTAAGAACTTGATATAAAACTTGTTAATTAAACTACAAAATAAGTGTGCTACCTCAAAGATTAAATTGGTTGGTGGACCTATACTCTAGCCAAATTAAATGTAAATAAATTTCAATAAACAAAATCGTAAGATTTTTAAGATTTTCATCTTGGACTGTTATACAGTTACCACAATTTAAAAATTTCCCCCGAAATTTAATAGGCTATTGATAATACTAATCTTGTAATCATGCCTGTATGAATTTTGTTCAACAGAAGCATCAAATCACTAGTGATTTGAAACCGACATAAAAACTACTAGTAATTAATTATTATTTGTAAAACTGTGCCATCCCTAACGATTTCATTTATCTCTAGAGAGGTATTGTA